CAGCACCATCACCACCCACCCTGAGTGCAGCCCAGCCAAGCCTCCACTGGGAAGAGCTCGGCGTTGCCCTGGCCCCAGCCTGCAGCAGCAGCAGCCCACCCCACCCCGCGCACAGATGTGGGGGCACACCACCCCATGCCCTCCTGGGGTGTGTGTAGTGGTGGAAACTGCTCACCCCCCCTGCACCCTCCCTGGATGATCCACTCACAGTTGCATCCTGTGCCTGCCCTGCCCCAGCTGAACAGCGCCTGCCCCACCCCCACTCCCTCCCTCACTGTGGGGGCCTCGATCTTTTTCCCCCCATGCCCCTTCCCTTCCCCTACACCAGACTTACCAATGCTGGTCTCGGAGCTGCCTGGCTGCATATCAGAATCAGATCAGTATTGGCTGATATGGTTCCTTAAAAATCAGACATCAGTATCAGCCCAAAAATTCTCTATTGGTGCGCCCCTAACCAAGACGCACACAAGCCAATGGAAAATCCAAGGATCCTTATGCTCAGACCTGTGCTCTAACCAGTGCATGTATTTTATAATAAGTAAAAAGACTAAATGGGTTAATTGTGGTAGTAATGTTTTCTGATTGGTGGAAGGGGCATAAAAGGAGAAATGATTGTGATTATTGATATCTTAAAGTATGTGTGGCCCTGTAGCAGTCTGCCAGATCAAGGAGCCTAGGGGTAATCAGCAGGCATGCAAGGGTACAGCCCAGCCAGAGACAGTAAAGGGTGATTGCAGGCTGCCTAGGCAATGGTGCCAGCTGAGAGAGATAATTAGCTGGCAGGAAGCTAAAAGGAAGGGGAGCCAGACTTCCCAGGAGGGGAAGGAATTAGAGGGGTGTGAGAGTTAGGCTCCTAGAGAGAGAAGCCTAAGACAGGCTGAGAGATGAAGCAGGCAGGCGGGCAGGCAGCCAGCCAGCCAGCAAAGGGTTGAGAGATTGAGAGCCTGAGAACTAGAAGCCAAGAGCCAGAGGCTGAGAGACTGGGACCCTGAAAAGCTGACAGCTGAGAGGGAGAGAGCCAGCAGGTTAGCATAGTGGAGCCCAAGGACCCTGGCCGAGTGCCTTCTTCTGGGAGTTGGCCAGAGACTGTGTGCGTATCAGCGACTATGTACATGGCTAGAGCGAACTGAGAGAAGAGAGTGCAGGCTGCCAGTGGTGGATCCAAATCCAGGTGGTCTCCGTGATCCCGGGAAACACCTGGTGTTGTATGTTTGCACAGTGATAAGTGCTTATGCTGATTGACTCCTGTGGGGAGGGAGGTTGGCCTGAGAGAGTACAGAAGATAAATAGAGACTGAGTCTGCAAAGGGACAGTGAGGAACTGTGTGGTAAGCAAATTGACCCTCAACCCGCTACAGGCTCTTTGAAAAACGTTAATCAGATAAATTGTTAGGCAACAGTGCCCTGCCCTCTGTTACCAACCAGCCAGTGAGAGTGTGTTTTGATGCTATAACCTTTGTTGCTTAGTACTTGATAAAGCGCATGTAGGTGGGGTTCTGTGAGAATTGATCTTTTTTTGCATAGAGAACTCCCCAGCTCTTCAGATTTGACTTGACACTTCCAATTTAGCACCAGATCTCCGCTTCAGATCTGGTAGATATAAGCTTTTACAAAACCTGCAGCTAATCAAAATGTTTCTTTAAAAAAAATTAATCAAATGGAACCTTTTTGCAAAGAGGAAACCATTCTTTCCTGCAGTGTTTGCAATCCGAACATTGCAACATTAGGCTTATGAACGAGAGTCTGAGTGTGAGACTAACTGGTGCATTTTTTCATCGTTTAAACAAAAAACAACCAAAAAAAGCAAAAACTATAAATATCAACAAGTGAATAAGAGTTCTAGTAACACAGGTCTATACTTTCATTTTAAATATTGTTTTAACTTGATTGTCCCATTTATGGAAGCAGTTATACTTTTTATACTTTTTTTAGACTTTAAACTGTAACCCCACACGGAGGAGAAACCTAGTTCTGCTACTGGCAGCAGGCTAGGGAAAAACTTTGAAACTACTCAAGCTCTAGGGTGGTACAAGCATCTGCCAAAAGTTTGTGAGATGCTGGGTAGCTAAGAGGCTGTTAAGGAAAGGTTGTATCTTAAAAGACTATGCCTGCAATTCCTAAGGCTTTGCCGGATTTTTTTGCTAATACTATAGGACCTAGTAAGATCTAGGAGAAAAAGTGTCTCATCTGGGCTAAGTAAAGACATTCAAAAAGCCTGAGCCTGAATCAATTCAATATTTGCAGGTTAGTTTAACCTGCGTAGATTGAACTAACGAGCAAGTGAATAGACATTCACTTTTGATTTGGGAAATGGAGCCACATACCTACAGTGGCTCAGGCCAGAAGCTGGGGGTGCTAGAGCAGCCCTCCCTGGCTTCCCACAGTGACCAGAAGGCTGGAGGGAAGCTGAGCTGGAGGGGTGTAGCCAGGCCCTGGCAGGCTGAGTATGATTGGGGAGGGCTTTAAACCCCCACCCTGGCCTCCAAGGACCCCAGCTAGGATGTGTATGGAGGGGGAGGGGGAAGCAGCCCTTGCCAGACTTTTTTTTTATTTTTATTTTTATTTTTTTGGGAGGGGGAAAGCATGGCCAGCCCCCAGCCCCTAGCTAGCACTGAAGGCTGGCCAGGGCTCGGGCAGGGGCTGGGCTAGACAGTAGAGGACACGTGGAGGTCCCTGCCAGCCCCACTTACCTGTGATTCTCCCTTTCCTCCCTACCTTCACCTCAGGCCTGGGGCCAGGGGTCTGGCAATGCCCGTGCTCATGCAGCTTGAGTGGTGGGGGCATGGCGAAGCCGGGCAGACCCTGTCTGGGGTCCCCTGCAGGAGGGAGGGGAGATTAAACCCCTACTTCCCTTCAAGCTACCTGCATCTGGCCATGCCCCCTGCTTCTGCTGCTGCAGCAGCGGTGGGGGGGGGCGTGCAGCAGGACTCCAGCTGGCCCCAACCCTTGTCAGCCAGCTGGAGCAGTGCTAGTGCTCTGTGCTCTGGCTAGGCAGGAGACAAATGGGGCCAATCCTGCTCTGCTGGAGCAGACAGCCCAGCCAAGGGCTACAAAGCATCCTGGGGACTGAGTTAACTTAAACCATGAAGGGGTCTGGGACGGAAGATCCATCAACTGGTTTGACGTAAATCAGTTAAGTCTGATACTACATTCGAACAGGTTTATTTTAAACCAGTTTTGGCCATTTTGAAAGCGGTTTATACGCCCTGAATTTCTGTTCTATTACAGGTTTAAACCAGTTTCTGATCACTTAAGCCAGTTCATGTGTAATGTCTGTCCCTAGCCATAGAGTTTTGGGGATTGTTATTGTCCTCTGGCAGCTGGAAGTTGTTGTCACTATACAGATTTGATTTTTTTCAGTGGAGCAGTTGTACAACCTACCTGTTAACAGGCATACGGTAGCAGCATGCTGGAGGTAACTTCTGTTCTAATTCACTGCTTTCACAAGGAAACTGAGCTGTGAACATGCGCTTCTGGTTTGCTTACCAATCCAGCAATCAGTTTAGACCAGTCAGTGTGAAGTTTAGAACACCTTTTTCAGAAGGCAGCAGGGGTGGGCACGAGAAGAACAGTTTAATAAATTGTGGCACAGCACTCTCAGTTTTAGTCTCATGAGGGTGGGATGACTTTCTGAATACAAGACTGGCATCCAGGAATTTCTGGGTTATGTTTCCAGCGTTGCCACTGTCTCATTGAGAAATCTCAAGCAAGTCAGCTAACAGCTCTGCCTCGGGCTTCCTATCTGTAAAGTGGAGTTAAAATTTATATCTCTGGGTTGACGTAGAACTCTGATTTTTTTAGACCATTTTGAAGATAAGTGCAAATTGTTGTTATAAGATCTATAGTTTGAAAAGTGAAACCATGCTTTCCACATGAGCATTGCCTCTTCCTTCTTGTCATTTCCTGAAGGCATTCTTATTTGGTAAACATTTCAAGCAGTTCTTCCTACTAATGAACATCTTAAGCCTTGTTAAGGTTGGGAAAGTTAATACCCATGCTTAGGCTTGGCAGGATTCGATTTTTATCAGTAAATGGTGATAAATGTTGATTTCACCTCTCACTCACAGACCAGTGAAAACATATTTTCTTCAATAATAATTGAAATTTAGAAAGGGGACATAAGAAAAATGATGACTGATGGAGTGTATGACAACAAGGGGAGTAGGCTGAAAGAACCATCCTGATTGTGGTTTGGACTGCAGCTCCCAGAAATCCTAGGGGACTGGGAACAAAGGAAGAGGAAGTGACAGAGTGGACAAGAGAGCTATGGGTGAGTAGAGCTGGGACTGGCAGCTCTGCTGCTTAGCTGGCAGCAGTCTTACAGTAGTTACATTTGTCGTGAATAAATTGTCTGTTCCCCCAAGCCCCTAATTTTGCGCAATCCTGAAAAGTGAAATGGATAAAGATTGAAATAAATGCTTAAAAATAAACATCAGCTTTTTTTTTTTTAATAATTTCAGTGAATAATATTGAATTCTGGATCTGTGCCAGTGGTGGCTACAGTGAAAGCTCTCAGATAAACTGAATTCTGGATAGGTTTTGATGACACTGGAGGGGGGAAGAAATGCCCGAGAACGAATCTGCACAACAGAGTCTTGCCCGCAGAACTGGAATGTTTCCAGAACAGCGTTGAGTGGGTTCCTGCCCAGCCCTTCTCTTCTGGCAGAGTTACTCCTCTGCCAAGTGGAGCCAGGGGTCTCTCCTGGTGTGGCAGAAGGTGTGTGTAGGCTGCTGTGGGCCATTCAGCTGCTGGTGCTTTCCCAATGTGCCTTCCCTTCACGCTGTGGCAGCACATGGCTGAGTGGAGCTGTGTGGAGCTCCCAGCAGCACGCAAGTGTACATGCTGCACTCTGAGCAGCCACCACACCAGGTAACTGCTGACATAGACCAGTGGCGGGCAATTATTTTGGGTGAAGGGCCACTTAACAAGGTCTGGTGAGCTGTTGAGGGCCTCATGGGTAGTCCCACCCCTTGACAGTTGCCCTGCCCCCTTGTCACCATCTTGGGACCAGAAATCCCACCCGTAACCCATGAACTTTGCCAC